AAAAGGAAACAGTGGGGACGCACGTTCTAACCTAACCTAACCTATTCTGATAAATTATCATAATTATTACCAATTATATTATTAGAATAGGTTAGGTTAGGTTAGAACGTGCGTCCCCACTGTTTCCTTTCGTTTGCTGGAATCAGCGGTGAGCCGCAAGCGCTGCCGCAGCGCAGCAGCCGCCGCCGTTCGCTCGCGTCGTCACGTGACACGTCGTCTCCAAAGCGGTCTGGTTTCCAGGCTAAAACAGGAAGAGGCGCCATGACAGTCTACGACCCTAAACATTAACCCTTTTTTGAACCAAATCCGACAGTTTCGGATGAAGGAGGCATTTTTGCTTGTATTGATTATCAGCAATAATAATATCGTAGAGATAAACTGATTCGCGCCCGGAAGGCGTAAAGAACGAAGCTAAACATGATAAATAATGAGCATCTGCTAAGTAGCAATACATTCCAATTACCTGCAAGATAATTATTTTAAATACTTTAGAACACATATTTCTTAAAGAAAGTGCTTTACCTGAAAAAGAAAATTTTTACTACTTAAATTACTTCATGTTTACTTCTTCTTCTTCTTTTCTTCTTCTATCAGTGTTTATATGGAGATTTTAGCTCTTTATAGGCTCTTTCTCCGATGTACTTCATGTTTACTTTCTGTTACAATCTTCTTTTAAAGCGAAGAAGATCGGATGCCATCACTCCATTACCATGTGACTGCCATTTCAAATTTCCAACCAAAACAAGAAATAACCGCGGAGTGGCGCTTCGTGTTAAATTTCGAGCTTTTTTTTTTTCCTTTTTTAAATTACAGTACTGTACTCTTTCATCATCTCAATGGGCACTAAGAATAAAGTTGCCATAAGTTTAAAATTAGAAATCGGAATATTGTAAAATAAAATTTGATGGCTACTCAACATTAGATTGGCAGAAACCATTCGGGAGGAAAAAAACTAATTCTAATTAAACTACATATACTTTTTTTTAATACTCTTTCCGCCCTGTGGGCACTAAGAGGGCCTCTTATAGCAGGCCCATTGTGGGTTCGGCCAGGCCCACAACGGGGTGACTGGGTGATGAGAGACGGGGCCCGACATATCCGAACGGACCGACCCCGAAAGATTCCTGAAGATCCCTTGACCCGTCTGGAGTCGATCTAGGGTCCCCCAGAGCGGTAGGTTGCCATCTTGACCGCTCGGCCATCCGGCCGTCTGACTAAATATACTGAATTATCAATTAGTGAACATTTTTTATTATTTGTTGAGTCAATCTTACTTGTTTGACTTACATATGTCAACTAAGTTTTTTTTAGAAACCCGGTTACTTTCATTGTGGATATGACCGAACCTATGATAGACAGGAATAAAAATAAAAATCCTCTTAGTCCCACAGGATACGGTAAATAAATAAATAATAAAAGCTAGACTATAGCCAGACATAACCATTGATCAGCATGTAGGTCAGGCAGTGCTGTGCGATGTCTATAATTTTAACATCGATGCGAAACATCGATGTTTGCCTAAGCATCGATGCTAAATTTCGATGTCGGATTTCACATCGATGTTTGATCGATGCCCATTGGAACATCGATGGTCAATCAAGATAAACTCAAACAATTTAAAAAAAAAAACAAAACCGGGTTTGTTCGAACAGAAGTTCCTGACGCATGCGCAATGTCATTTTACAATGCGAAGAATAACGTGCATGCCGGTTCTAAATCAGTTACAGTTAGGGACTAGGGACTTGCGTAGGAGTAACGTAAGTAACCTAAATTAAGAAAGAACAGGTACAGATAACTTAGCTCTATTTGATACGTGTACGATCGTACATGCAAAAAAAAAGTCGACAGGGTTTTTTTTTACTATTTCCGCCCTGTGGGCACTAAGAGGGCCTTTTATAGCAGGCCCATTATGGGTTCGGCCAGGCCCACAATGGGGCGACCGGGTGGTGAGGGACGGGGCCTGACATATCCGAACAGACCACCCCCCGAAAAATTCCTGGGGATTCCTTGACCCGTCCGGATTCGATCCCGGGTCCCCCAGAGCGGTAGGCTGCCACCTTGACCGTTCGGCCATCCGGCCTCAAAGTCGACAGGTTGCGCGCCACAAGTCGGCGTAAACAGACTAACATGGCAGAGTTGCGGATGAGTTTCAATGAGTGTGAGTTCATTCACTGTTAAAATAGTGTAAATTTGTAAACATATTTGCGAGAACTTTGTTTCATCGCAATTTCACAATTTCTACGAAATTCCCGGACTGTCCGGGTGAAAACCGAACAGGTGGTAACATTAGAAAGAAAGAATGAACTGCATGCATCGATGAATCGAAATTCACATATTGCTAACATCGATTCAGGATCGATGTTTCAAAAACATCGGAAGGTCGATGCATCGACGAACAAAAACATCGATGTATCGATGTCACATCGATGCATCGCACAGCACTAAGGTCAGGTGACATATGCACGTATGACACACATGGGCGGATCTAGGTTTTTCGAGCCTAGGTCTTATTGAAATCCAATGGGACCCCATTTTTTTGCCCCTTACACTAAGTAATTTACCCTTTATGTGGCTTTTTCTCTCTTTCCTTTTTTCTTTTTTCTCCTTGCAAAGAGGTGCATTGCCATTGCCTTATAAGGCAGGCAGAACTATTATTATTAGTCTCCTTATAGCATTCGAATTCGAGACAGTGGATTTAAAATTGCAACTTGGTGATTTGACCAATTACGTTACATTGATTACAATAAAACAAATAATACTATAAATTATAATTATTATTATATTATTGATATTAACTATTTTTTACTATACGATAAGTGCTCATTGTTAATGAAAAAGTATTAAAAATTTATGATGATAATCAATTTTTGTGGGCCCTTTATACTTGGGGGCACAGGGCTTAAGCCCTATTAGTCCCTATGTAGATCCATCCCATACAGAGACTAACGCTTACAGTTCTTACTTGACTGTGTTTAATACAAATCGGAATATTTTTGGGAGAAATGAACAAATCGGTCAAATTCCGAAAAATCTGGAATATGACAAACATAACTAAGAAGTTCTTTTTATCAAGCCCATCGTGGGTTCGGCCAGACCCACAATGGGACGGCCTGACGGCCGGATGACCGAGCGGTCAAGGTGGCAGCCTATCGCGCCGGAGGGACCCTGGATCGTTCCGGACGAGTCGAAAAATTCCCAGGAATTTTTCAGGGAATTTTTCGTCCGAATATGTCGATTCCTATTCCTCACCACCCGGGCACCTCACCCCGTTATGAGCCCATAATGGGCATGATAAAAGAGGTCCTCTTAGTGCCCTCAGAGAGAAAAGAATTTTAAAAAATGGGGAGGCCTTCGTAATTAGTACTTTTTTATTTTTAAGTTAATTTTTTGTTTTCTTATATTTTAAAATATGCTTTTATATTTTATTGTTGCTGTTGTTTATTTTTTATATAAATTCTAACTTTGTGATTAAACAGGATTCAATGGAATTGAATCTGACATGCAAAATGTAAATCCACATTGATTATACAACCAGTATCGATTTTTGTTCGTTTTTATTATTTTCGTACTATTAGCAATCTAAAAATAAAGTTCATTTTTATGTAACTCTCAATCCCTTCAGCTTTCTATTCCTAATGTTTTAAAAACTGTAATCAACGTTTTAAAAAGCGTTTTCCTGACTCTCTCCGTCCTATGGGTACTAAGAGGGTTTTCTTCATACCCATAACCACAGGTTCAGTCAAGCCTCACAACGAAGCAGACCGAGTGATGAGAAAACAATAGCCAATTCTCGATTGTTGGATTGCCGCCAAGCATTTGCTACATAGTATATTTATGTACAATTAATATACTATGTAGCAAATGTTTTTTGTTTGTAACAATTAAATTACAAAGTTGTGTCACGCATTTATAATATTAAAAATTAAACCCTACAGAAATTAATACGTATACGTAAGTATGTCTATTAATTCAACTTAATACATATTAAATTTCAATATCAGTTTGAATAAAATATGTTATGCTTTAAATATTTTCAACTATATAAATATATTAAAGTATAATGGTATTTTTATTAATCAAAATTCAAAATAAACTCTTAATACAGTGAAACGCCACTATCCATACATATGGGCCACCAGTGACGGAGTTGATAAAACCTATAAATACTGGTAGTTGGTCGTGGATTCTCGCCTCGCCAACGGGCTGATTACATGGAGTTTTTCGGATTTTCTTCGGGTTTGTAACATCTAAATAGAGACCAGTTTCTCATTGAAAGTCTTCCCGGAAGACATTATCCCTCGGCAGTGGCGTACCGTGGGTGTCAGCCGCCCGGAGCGGAGGAAAGTTTCGCCCCCCTTATTTAGGTATTTCAATTTAAAGGACTAAAATTCAGTTTAGTCACAGAACAAGCAATGAAAAATTCCGTGCTATTGCAGCGACCTGTTTAAAATAGCTCTAATGGATAATAGTGGTGTATATGAACGCGAATGAATCGTACAAGTAAAAAAAAAAAAGTCAACAGGCTACGCAGCATTTCCTCGGATGAAAAAATTACTTCACCCGGACGGCGAGCCGACGGACTGTCCGGACGATAGCACTGTCGTAGGAGCGACGCAACTGTAGATTAGGATGGTTCAAATTTTTACAACATATTATTATTTATTGTGAAATTTTGCCGCCCCCTAAAAAGTGCCGCCCGGGGCGGGCCGCCCCCACTACGGTACGCCACTGTCCCTCGGCAGATCGCCCATGCCATAAACTGATATCATAAACAACTAATCCAATCGGACACTGATTATCCGGATTGCCTTTTGACTTTTTTAAAAATAAATAAGCATGTACAGTACTTATATGTATTGTATACGCATAAAAAGTAACATTTTTTTTCTAAATATAGAAAATAAACTATATTTATTTGTATATATCAGTACATTTCCATTTTTAAACTTATAGGCATTTATAATGTCGACATAGCAAAGTCCACATTATAATGTCGACGTAGCATAACAAGGATTTTGCGTCTTATTTGTTTAATAAAATTCAAAACTAATTTATAATGCTACCAGAAAATAATGTTAGATCTGAAATATTAAAAATTGAGAATAAAAGAAGAAAAATAATTTCTTTTTGATTGCACACCAGCATGAAGAAATAGTACAGTCGCATTATGGGGAAAGTGCATATCAAATAGAAATTAAGGATTTTATAGACTTGCTAATTAAACGAAGAGCCATTAGATTTTGAATTTTCTTTTGTTTTAACTTTTTTGGATTCAACGGGTTTTAAAACGTCAAAATTTGCAAAATACCCGAAGAATCAATTTGACACGATTCCAATACTTTCCCTGTTATATATACATCTATACAAGCCGGAAAAGTAAATGAAGTTTATTATTATTATTGTATCATCTAAGAAAGAACCGTCAATCCAATGTTAGATTTGTTTAATAAACTTACCTTAAATATAAAAAATTACGTCTGGATTACTGATGTTTTTTCAAAACAGTTTAAACAAAAGAAGGAAAAAGTAATCCTAATAATTAGGTAACACAGCAGAAAAACTTGGACGACCATTGAGATTTCTCACTCAATGTCCACTTTTAACTTCGTTCTAGCGATCGTATCGAGTCTGTTTTGAAGCTAGAGCAGATTCTCGTCTCTTTTCTAGCAGGTTGAAGCATTAAGAGGACATCCTCCATCGATTCCGATGGGATTGTGAGGATCTCATCTTACGGAAATAAACCGACGATCTACATGTTTGTTTATTTACACGTATTCTCCAGCACCTGACATGTATATTTTTATTTAAGTTTTTATTTTTCGTAAAGGTTTATTGCTACTATGACGCTTTACCATTCATACTCTCGACGGTGGTGCGCTGTGACTGGATGGTTATGAGGCAGTAACCTCAAAGTATTACGTTACTAAAAATACGAAATCTGTCAGTTTTACGATTTAAATTTATACTTATGTGAAGATTGACTAGTTTACTTTTTACATTTACATATAAACGAATGAATATTAGTAGCTGGTCCAGTAGGAGAATGCAATTGCTTCCTCTCGCCTCTTTGGCTGCGCCAGTGATGTCGATTTTTATATTGCCGATATACATATAGGCTATAGTCTATATTTAATTCAAATTATCGCTTGAAACAGGAAGGTAATCGAGCACTAACCAACAGTCTCTGATTGTATTTTATCTGGAAATGAAATTCAGCAAAAATAACTTTAGGAGGAACGAAAATAAATTCATTTGATCTATTTAAATTTCGATTAGATTATTATCATCATCGATTATTGACTATACTAAAGATTATTGACGTCATCGATTCAAGTCCGAGTCGAACCTTTAGAAATTATCATGGATAGTTTCGCCCGTACTAGTCAGGCTCCACTCATCCCCAGTGATCAAACCCACGATAATTAGGAAAAAAAGTAATAATCTCTAGAGCCAGAGGACGAAACGAGTTTAAAAAAATGATTAATGAATCCGAAGTATAATTAGATTTATAGCATTTCATTGATAAGTGTTCAGATAATTTTGTTAATTAAAGCGCTTTAAAGTATTGAATTGAGAAATAGATCTGTTCTAAACCAATTAACGAAAGCAGAAAGAGTCACAAATGACAGCAGGAGTACACACTCGGAAAACGCAGTTGTCGGAAGGAGGAAGTAATAGATAAAAGCTAAGATTGAGCTTGTAAGGGGATTCATTCTCCAAATAGTCTTGATTAAATAAAAACATTTCTCCGAATTGCCACGGATCTATTTCGTCATTTCCGTTTCGAATCTAATTCGAGATCTTCCTTCCGGAGAGTATGGATTTTAGCTCCCGTTCTATATTCGGATCAAAACAATTCCATGTAACGGTCGCCACCCTTTCCTCCCCTCTATAAAAGACCGTACAAATCGGGGCGCGACTAGTCGCCCGGAGAATTCAGGTCGTCCGTTCGTCGCCCGGTGCATCATCATGGTCCTTCACGAGAAGCAGATTCGAATCTTGAAATTGTTCAAGCACCTTAGTTTGGCCACTATAGACGGAGGAGTGCCCCGTGACCAGAGGGACCCCCGGTTGGCCAATTTGGCTTTCACTGTCCGACCTGGAGAGATTTTCTCCTGCTTCCATCCCGACCACCTAGAAGATGCTCGTCACCTCTACGAAATCTTCTACGGTAAGTATCTTCGTTTTTATCCAATCAGACTTCCAGAAGAAAGGCTTCTATGAGCCTGTTTAAAGCTTTAATCCGTTGTTAGAGGCCAAGGACTTCGACGACTTCGTGCACCTGGCCGAACAGGCTCGTACCTTTGTTAATGAAGGTCTATTTGCCTTTGCTGCCGAAGTGGCAATTCTCTACAGACCCGACTGTAAAGGCTTAAGCGTGCCTCCTATCCAGCAAATCTTTCCGGAGCGATTCGTGTCTTCTGCTACCTTAGCTGAGATCATCACAAAGGCTTCTACTAAACATGCGGGCGACGAGGTGAGTTCCTCTATCTTTTTCTACATTAAGAGTTCCCACATGTTTTCTTTGTCGACAACTCCTTAAAACTAGATTTAATTCACAGAATCCTTTTTATATTAATACAAAATAAGGATAAATTACAAAGATGATAAAATTTCAAATAAGAATTAATGTTTTTTCAGTAATTTTTTTCATTAAACAAATCNAAAAAATAATATTTTGCTTAAAATAATAGTCTAAATAAGAAATGGTACCTAAGAAACTTACAATACTTTTTTGAACTAAATCCGACAGTTTCGGATGAAGAAGGCATTTTTGCTTGTATTGATTATCAGCAATAATAATATCGTAGAGATAAACTGATTCGCACCCGGACGGCGTAAAGAACGAAGCTAAACATGATAAGTAATGAGCATCTGCTAAGTAGCAAAACATTCCAATTACCTGCAAGTTAATTATTTTAAATAATTTAAGAAATACAATAAATATGTGTTCTAAAGAAAGTGCTTTACCTGAAAAAGAAAATTTTCACTACTTAAAATTACTTCATGTTTACTTTCTGTTACAATCTTCTTAAAGCGAACAAGATCGGATGCCATCACTCCTTTACCATGTGACTGTCATTTCAAATTTCCAACCAAAACAAGAAATAACCGCGGAGTGGCGCTTCGTGTTAAATTTCGAGCTTTTTTTTTTTATAATAAATTTGTCCACTGACTCCCAGACAACCCTTATGAATTTATCAATCCTAAATTAATCGATTGTTTTCTTGGGGTTAGTCGTTAGCGATCAAGTGGACTACCCTTATTTTACATAATTCCTCAGCAAAGCTAATACCTATAATGGTTTCAGTCCCCTATTGTGGTAGACGTTAAAGAAACTGGAAATATCTTGGATCCAGAATATAACCTTGCTTATTACCGAGAAGACGTTGGTATCAATGCCCATCACTGGCACTGGCATCTGGTCTATCCTGCTACATGGAACGCCTCATATTTTGGCAAAGAGAAAGACCGAAAGGGAGAACTTTTCTATTATATGCATCAACAGATGTGTGCCAGGTATGTTACTTAACAAATATTTAATTTTAAGGATTGGCAGGAACTTACCTTTTTATCTTCTCCAAGATACGATTGCGAACGATTATCTAATGGCCTACAACGAATGATACCCTTCCACAATTTCGAAGAAGAGTTAGAAGGTTATGCTCCTCACCTCTCTCATTTATCTAGTGGAAGATATTATGCAGCTCGACCTGCTGGACTTAGATTGTCTGATTTGAAGGATGTTGACGTTCAGGAAATGGAAAGATGGCGTGAAAGAATTATGGATGCTATTCACTTGGGCTACATCGTCGACTCAGAAAACAAGGAAATAGCTTTGGACGAAGAACACGGCGCTGATATCTTGGGCGACATCATTGAATCAAGTTACGAATCAAAGAATCGCGTTTTCTACGGTAGCCTGCACAACATGGGTCATGTAATGATGGCCCGTATCCACGATCCCGATGGAAGATTCAGAGTACGTTTTACACCGAAAACTATCGATAACTTCGAATATTCAATAAACAAAAATATTAATTTTTTCTGTTCTACCGGCAGGAAACTCTAGGAGTAATGAGTGATACTTCTACTTCCTTGAGAGATCCTATTTTCTATCGTTGGCACAGATTTATTGACAACATCTTTCAAGAATATAAAGCTACATTACCCATTTACACCAAAGAACAGGTAAGTTTCGGAATATCTAGCTTATTCTGATGACTTTTTAATTCTATTCCACTTTTTATGAGCAGCTGAGCTTCCCAGGAGTAGAAGTAACCGATATCCGAGTCAATGCCAGAACTCCTAATGTCATCGATACATTCATGTTGAGAGATGAGTTGGAAATGTCGCACGGTTTTGTCTTCGGATCTGATGGTTCATACAAGGTAAAAACCGTTTACTTTCTGTGTCCAGTAAGAGGATAATAGCATACAGTGATAGCTTTTTTCCACAGGCACGTTACCAACATTTAGACCACGAGCACTTCTCTTACACCATCCACGTGCAGAGTACTCTGCCAGCCAAGAAGGAAGCAACAGTTCGTATCTTTTTAGCACCCAAATATGACGAATTAGGTAATATTATTCCACCCAACATACTTCGTCGATTATGCATCGAAATGGACAAGTTCAAGACCGAATGTAAGTAACTTGCGTGATAAATCTGTTCTAAATAGAAACGGTTACATAATCTCCGAGAATTGCAGTGACACCCGGCATCAACACTGTCGTGAGGAATTCAGTCGACTCCAGCGTGGCCTTATCTCGAGAATACACATTCGAAGAGCTAGAGAGAGGTGACGGTATCACCGAGGACCGCACAGAATACTGTAGTTGCGGTTGGCCCCAGCATCTGCTAGTGCCAAAGGGCAACGCTAAGGGCATGATCTTCTATTTATTCGTTATGCTGACAGACAGAGATCACGATAAGGTGAGTGACAATGAATGACTCAACTACTATTTTTCTCGAATCAACTAATCCGTAATTCGTTCCATTCCAGGTAGTGGACGGAGCAGGAGATCACTCCATCTGTTCGGATGCGGTTAGTTATTGTGGAGCCAAGGACGACAAATATCCCGACAAAAAGTCTATGGGTTTCCCCTTCGACCGTCCTCTTCCTTTCGAGACAGTAGAAGAATTCCTGACCACAAACATGCACATACAAGAGATCACCGTCAAGTTCCACCCGTAAATGCAGCAGCACTGAAAATAACGGAGAGAATTTATACACATTTCGACTTCTAACCTTGTAAAGAATAAAATTCAATTCCTTCCTTATCCCGTCGTCTCTATTTCTATCTCCAAAAGCTCTTCGCGTTTCGTATATCTTCTCTTACGATTGCAAGTTGACCGCGAAAATAACTAGTAAGAAAGAATTTTTGTAAGTTTATATCGGTTGTATCCTCGACGAAAAATTTATTATTATTTTAAACGAACCTGGAGCGAATTATATAGAATTGAGTGGTGAGTAATTGTACTGTATTTGTATCTACGGTTAATATCTATATAAGGAATGTGCAAAGTGAAATAATTTTAGAAAGTCGATTAAATAACTATTTGAAGGATTTTAATAACGATAATCTTGCGAATGAGTGTTTTTGTTTATAAGACGGAAGTTAATACCAAAGACCTAACTTTCTCGATAAGGGATTGTCCATAAATGACGTCTACACTAAACGGGGGAAGAGATTAAGACAAGTCGGACAAGGGGGCTTCAGTGGACGTCCGTAGATTTTATTAAATTTTATACAGTTCATGTACATTTTATATTTCGTTTGTGCTTAAGGTATCTATCATTCAAAAAGTGATAAAGGTTTTAAGATGGATCGAGCTTTGTTGGATGTCCGAAGAGGGGATACAGTTACGGAAGCTTGGACAATTTGGTATAAGAGGGGAGGGGAAGTAAAAATTTCAAGAAAAATACGGTCATAATTTATGGACAGTCCCTAACACTAGTAATCAGATTTTCTATTAGACCTATATCTTTATTGATGGTTTTTTAAATGAATGATCTAATTCTAATGGTCTTAAATATAAAACTTGTTCAAACATAAATGCCAACTATTCAAATGGATTTTAAATGCAAAATTAAAATAACTTAAAATAGATCTAGATATAAATACAAAAATATCAAACTTTCTATATTCTTTAAATATTAAATTTACAATATTAATAAACTGGGAAAACTACTACAATTGCCCTAAAACAGACGATAAAATGTTCCTTTGAAAATATACCTCCATACCCTTTTATCCTATCTAAATTATTGCCTCAGATATATTATTTAGGACACTATCCTGATATATAGGTTACATATAATTTAGTTTCATTGTAGTTAGCTATCTATAAATTGTACCTTCTCCTCTAATATTGGGCTAAATCGAAACAATGAAATATTGGTCAGTAAAGTAGATAACAAATTTCTGATACGTATTTAATAGCCCTACCTGAAAAAGTATGTCTTATTTTGTCTAACTATATACAGTAAGTTAAATATTCAAAATGTAGGCCATATGTCGCTAGTCAAAAAATAAAATTAAAGTTTATCTATCAAACCTGCTTTCTTTTACTTGTTAATTAACAAATAAGAGTAAAATAAAAAATTAAGAATTAAAACTTAAAATTAAAAAAAAAGCAATTCCAGTCAGTTTTAATTTATAAATAAGTTTAAAGTATCCTACACTGATCTGTTAATCTTATTTATTAAGGAGATTTTATTTTCCCAAAACTTGTTACAAAGTTTTTAACATTATAAATGGAGGAACATATTTCACTTTAGTTCTTCAGTTCAGAATGAAGCAGTTTAACAGTTGAATTACACTAACAAAATGTTATGGATGACTTCTGAAGTTATTAAGAAATGGCTAATGGACGAAGTCGGGACTTGGAGCAACAATGGAAGTCTAGAAAAGTTCTATAACATCTTATCAACTCAATATTCTCATTTACATTGTTTTAAAAATATATCTGTAAAGAAGTTGAGGAGGCCGAGGGGTAAGATTTCAAAACGAAAAATAACGATTATATGAGATATATCGTTATCGTTCCATTGCCGTGTAGACTGCCGAGCGGTAACAGTCAACGTCACGTGGGAGCGGTTCGATGCCTCGTTTACAAACAACACAACCCGTTTATTATATAATTTAATTTACAAAACATTCATAGTCACGAAGGGTTTAAGTCCTTATATACTTCGGCGCGTAGTCTTCAAAGAAAAAGAGGAAAGTTCGGCGATGAAGGTGGTTTCCATTCGCTGACCGGATGTTGCATTCTAAGTCCAGTTCTCGAACAGGAAACGATGTCCGGTGAATGCAGATCGAAATGTCCGAAGTTTCTCTCAATGAAGGTCTATAACTTTCGGAAGATACAGCGGCGAAGGTCGAAGATGGAACCTTGCGGGAAGCACCTCAGCGAGGGACATAGCCTCGTGGAACGCTATGTCAAAGAACCAAACTTGGGCTTAAATATTTTTTCGTCTCGCAAATCGTCACTTTTATTAATCCCCTTTCTCGGTCCTAGATTGGTATTTCTCTGTTACCAGGTGAAATTGGACCAGATCGGTTTCTGAGAAAGACGATTGTTTATGAATACAATTCGACACAGTCTTTCATTCGGCGTTGAACGAACCTTGTACCTTAACTAACATTATTTTCTTTTTTGTTCGTCTTGTTTTATAAAAAATTTAATTTACTAATTTTTCTCTTTTTCTCGCGTGGTTTTAATATTAGAATAATTTTATTTTTTTCCGCTTTTCATTATAATTTAATTCCCTTAATTTTAATTAATCGCGAAGATCAAGATTCGTTTCTGTTCGATTTTTGGTTAAAAGAATGTTTTTCATCCCAGCCCAGGGCCTCACAAATTTCTGTCACTCAGTATCTTATGGGGCTACTTGGTGTATTGTAGAAATCAAAAAATTTAAAGATATATTGCAGAAAATACGTAAACTACATCCTTAAAGCAATTAATAATTGATATGTAATATACATACAGTAATTGGGTTGAGCATTTTGGTTAAAGAACCTGACTGTATACAACTGTCTTTCAACATAAAAATTCCATTTTATTTACCACAAAAATATATAAAAGCAAGCACTTTTCAACAGGGCATAACAGTCTTCCTTGGGCAATACTCAAAATGGATAATAAATTTACAAAAGTTTTTTGAACAAATATTGAAAGAGGAAAACATTTTAAAATCTCAATCTGTACACAAAATGCTCTTTTCAAAAACTGTTTATATTGAAGGGCACTCCAGTGGAACACATTGAAACACCAAAATTCTTGAAAATTTTAATATGTGTAAAGCAAAAAAAGAAATCATGCACCTTTTCAAAAAATATGGTTTTATCTTACCTATAAACACACAATTATTTTTATGTATCATACTGTGATAGAGATAGGCTGACTATAATTTTTTATACAAAAATGGGACAGGGAGCAACAACCAATACATACCTCATTAAAATTTCATCAAGAAATATAGATGAGCATTATTGACAATGTGTTAGTACATAATTATTACTGATATTAATTTGGTGGTGTAAAAAAATTTCTCTAAAAGATTTTTTTTGAAAATCTAATAATAAAATTTTGATATTTTTAATACAATAGAATATCAAATTCAATAGTTAGATTAATGAAGGCAGATTCCTAGAATAAAAACCAAGCACATTTTCCAGATGAACTTAAAATAAGTTCTGGTCACCTACAACTTTACCATAAAACTTATTACAATGAATTGCAGTTTTGTTTTATAATTAGCATTGCTTTCATGTCTTCAATATTTAATTTCAATTTCTCTTTTGACCACAGCAAATTCACAAGTGGAAATATTCTTTCTATAGAAGTTGTAGTTCCTAATAAACTAAGGACTAATTTTATCAAATTATGAAAATCTTAGAATTCCAGATTCTTTTTGTGCATTTCATTAAATATTTTGACCCATTTGTCATTGACACTTATTTTTTTAAATGTGTTTAGTTATTATTTTATTATTTCTTGTCTTTATTAATGCCATGATCAAATTTTTGAATATTATCTGATTCTTTCTTTGTGATAGATTGTGTTTTTTCACGAGGAACACCGGTAACAGGTTCCAGTTATAATTTCACCCCTGGTGTTAAGGTTATGTTGAACTTCTTGTTTCATATATTAATTAAATTATCAACAATCGTAAGGCAGATAATAGTGAGGGCTTATCACACCAATGATGGGCACAAATGCTCAGGAATCAAAGTGAAAACATTTAATAAACACAAAAATGACTACATAAGTATGGAAATGCATGAGGGACTATGTCCGAATGTTGAGGGACTATTTTCTATCAGAAAAGAGTCCCTTTTGAAAAAACTTTGTATAATTTTAAATATATTAAAACCTTTAGTTAATACCAACTGATGAGGGGCTATTTTCTATCAGAAAATAGTCCCTCATCAGTTGGTATTAACTAAAGGTTTTAATATATGTAAAATTATACAAAGTAAAGATTGTAAGGTTGTATACAAGGTTGTAATTATCTGTTTCTGTTTGTGTAATGTGTTCCTTAACTTTGTTGAATCTATTCTGTAAGCTATATTTCACATGATTTCTTCTCAGTAGTATCCATTCAATTTTACAACCCTTATCAGTACATAATAAATGTTTTCTAGCTAATCACCAGTTTGGAAAACAATATACAGATGTGTTTAATATAAAACTAGAGAACTAAGTTTTTTGATTTTCAAAAAAGACAAAAAATTTTACTTAAGCAGGACAGTTAGGACAGAACAAAAAATGGTTTATAAGATCAGCCTAAATAGAGACTACTCTTCAAGCTTTGAAAGATCAAATGTGTATATAGTCCCACTACAGCATTCTCAAATGGGTTCTACTTTACATAGCCACCACCAATAGAACTTGAAAACTAAGTGAAACACCAAGAGGATATTTTGCACAATAAGTGCTCTGTTGAGGTCACCAGCAGAGTTTTAGAGCAGGGTTACAAGACCATAAGGTCAGAGGTTTCCTTACTGTGAGTGTGATGATCAGAATCTTATTTATCTGGAAAACATACAATACATATTTCACCCACAGAAACTTGTAATAAGCCCATATTCAACCTTCCAGAAATTTGGTTGTACATTACTTATATATAGCCCAACACTGCAATTTAAAAAAATACTCATTATTAATTTCACTTTGTTCTATACATAATTAAAATTTTTTTCAAAGAATTTCACTGCTTCAATGTGTTCCACTGGAGCATGCTGTGTTCTAAACAGTTTATGAAAATAGTGCTTTGTGTATGATTGAAATTTTAAAATATGTTCTCCTCTTCAAATGTTTGTTTAAAAAACTTTGTAAATTTATATTCTATTTCTGTGCATTGAAAAAGATAAAGAATTCAAAACTAATGATCCTACTGGATTTTTAGAGTTTCAAATTCTTTATTTTGTTAAAGCTTTTAAACACTTATGTTAAAAACTGATCTGAATAGTTATTCATAATGATCAATGAACAGATCATTATGAATATTATTTAATTTATTATAACTGACTGTCAACATGTTGGTTGTATACTAAGAACACCCATTTAATTTTATTCAATGCATTGTCTTCCCTTTGGTTTGTATCAACATCACCTACAAAATATACAGTACAGAATTGAAAAGCTATTAACATTAATATCACTATATACAAGTACAATATATTATTATTCACAAATATCCTACATATACAGAATATGGATAAATAATAAAGTTTGGTATATAAACATTTGTATTTGCAAATGTACTAGATACAAATTTAATTTTCAGTAAAATACTAAACCAATATTTTATTGTCTATGAAGTAAAATTAATTTATTTGCAGTGGCTATAAGAATGTACTAAATCAATTGTAATTTTTTTGTTGAGTGACAATGCATCATAGTATCCAATATTCTGAACTGTGTGACATTATTGTATTCTGATTAAAAATATCTAAATTGTATAAACTGAATTTTTGCACTAAGTGGTTACAATGGATTTAAATAAAAGACACCACAGAATTCACTTGAACTATTTAGTATAAAATATTATACATCCTTTAAATTAATTTTGCATCAAGATACAAATTAATTATACAAATTGACATTTATCTATAACTGACACTCATTAGTAAATAAATAACCAGTTTTCAGATGAGCAGTCAACAAAATACAATGTCCATATTTATATATCATCATTTCATGGAATGATATGTTCTTTTGTACGTATAGCATACTTTGTCATAATGTAATGGGTCATTTTAACAGATGACGTGTAAACTTTAATTCTGAAATTTTTCATTAAATATCACATTTTATAATAAATAAGCAATATATATACATACATATCATAATTACTTGATAGCTTTTACATTTTTAATTAATGGATGCATTTTATTATGGCTTTATATATCAATAGCTTTGTCAAACATCTACTTAATATGCCAGAAAAATTTCATAAATTTACTGACTATCTTTATGTGACTTTCTGTTAATTTCATGAGTATAAGAGGACACTGCAACATTGAAATTTCAAACATGATTTCATAAAACTACACAAATTTTTCTAAAGCACAAGTTTTAAATTATAGTTTCAAAATTTAAACATAATATATTATACAAAGTATAATCTAATTCATTTATCATCACAAACTGAAGGAAAAAACAAAGAAATGTAAAAATATAAATTTTTGTAATTTAAAAGAATTCATATTTACCATTTTTTTCTAATGACTGGAAATGCAATTGAAACCAAATATTATATATTATTTGGATTTTGCATGTTATCTTCTTGTATTCAATAAAAATTGAACTATCACATGGGCAAAGAATAAATTATATCCATTTCATTACTGATTCTATATTTTCATTGATGGCTTTTCATTAAAATTCCTCTATCCATTCAAAAAACACTTTTAAGAATCATTTTCATGACTAAAAATCTTTTAGTCTCCAGACAAAAATTCAACATTAATCAAGAGCTATCATCTCATAATATTTAAATGAAACATCTCAGATATCAATGACATCTTCCAGTTGACTGGTAAAAAATGAACTAAGAGCAAATACACTGCTACTACCAGAAATCTGACTTGGCATATCAGAATTATCCTGGATGTTGTTTTCTCCTGGCTGGAAAATTGTACCATTCATGAGAAGTGAGATGTCTTTTAGTTGTCTGTAATAAATAGATAAAATTCATTAATTATGCAAAAAACTTTGACAATAATACTCTTTTTTACTTACCCATCAATTGCAGTGCTTACTAATTGCAAAGCTTGAATTATTTCTTTTTGTTTTTCTTCTAGCTGTTTTTCTGTCAACTTTAAAGACCATTGGCAATGTTTATCAAAAGAATAAATCAATTGCACAAGATTTTTCTTGGTCAAGTTAAGAGCATCTCCATGGCTATTTCCTAAATAAAATATTTCTATTAGATCCACTAAGTCAAGTCAATCTGATTAAAAATATTTAAAAAGATATCTTCTTCACCTTTAAACATCAGGTCTATTGCTGAGAGAAAATCAACAATTCCATCAGTCATCTGAGCAATATGCCTGGCAATGTCTTTTGCAAAAGAATAAAATCTGGAAAGATCATCCTTTATTTCATATTCCTAAAAGTAGACAATTTTCATTTATTAAATGGATTAGAGATGCCAGAAATTTTATATGTAACAAAATAAACTATAAATACTCATATTACTAGACTGTAATTTAAAACTTGTATTTTAAGATTACAGAAAATAGGGTACAAATTAATAAGACAAATTACAGTAAGAAAAAAATAATTAATTGAATGTTTAAGAAGAAACTAATTATAAAAACATTATTTGACTTCATAAAAGCATTTAACACATTTATAGAGCAAAATTGCTCAAGCTCAATTTGTTTTTCATAAAATATGTTATATTTTATACAGATTAAAAATAATTTTCTTTTTTCATTTTGAGCAATCTTTATGGAAATAAAAATATAAAACTATTGAAAGAAAGCTATACAGTGGTACCTCAGGATACGAAATTAATCCATTCCGAAACTGAGATCGTATCATGAAAATGTTGTAAGGTGAATCATTTTTCCCCGTACAATTACATGTAAAATCAAATAATTCATTCCAACATGAAAAACACACTCAAATTAAAGCTAAGTAGTACATTAAAAAAATAAGTTTAGTAAAGAAAACACTGAAAAATGCATTTTGTAGTTGTAAATGTATAAATAACCATAATAGAATAATAATTGATAAAACAATGTAGTTTTATTTGCACTTTACCTTTGAGGATAGACAACGGTGGAGGTGTAAACTGGTGGCGGAAGAGAGGGAAAAGGGAAACGATACTAAAACTTAATTTACATAACATAATGTAACAATAACTTAAAATTAACTTAGAAAAGATAAAAAAATTAGTGTTGTTTTATATATATATTTTTAAAAATTTTTATTCACTGCATTTTGCCTTCTTTCCTTCACTTCCACCAGCACTTTCACTGGATAGAGGTCGCTTGGTAAAATATCTATCCAAAGAGGTTTGGTTTTGCCTAATTTTTAAAATGTTTCTAAAATGACTTAGGCAAATGTCATTATTCCGAGCAGCAATACGGCCAGAGTGAACCTTTTCAGAATATTTCTTTTCAATAAAATAAGTCACTTTCTGATAATACCTCAAGATTTCCTTTATCGAGCGAGATCCTTCCACAACGAAGCAAACACATGGACTGAGACCAATGAACAGAAGTGAATAAAAAATGGTGCTGTGAACTAATGTAACGTCGTATGGTGAGTTTTTGTTTGTATCGTGGAGCAAAAATATGTTTAAGTTTCATGTCGTATCCTGAAAATTTCGTATGCTGGGGCATTTGTATCCTGAGGTACTACTGTATAAGGCTTATATATATGAAAGAATCTATAAGCTAAAATTGAGGCATTGGCACACAAAAACAAATAAAAATACTACTATTAATAAATATTTCATCGGGAAATACAAACATATAAGATTTATTTCATAATATATTTTTTTAATAATAAACAATTGACTTTCACTTACATATATAATTATATATTAATTAATTAATTACAAAATTAATATATCATTTATAAAACTACTACTGGTAAGAATTAAATTATAATAACTAATGAGAAAGATATGAAAGTTAGAATTGAAGGCAGATGAATGAAATAGATGTTAATGGAATGCTTTGTAATTTGAATCTTTGACAATACAATTTTTAGATAGATATTCTACTAAAGTGAATGTCAAGTCTTAAAGAAATGATATTAAAGCATTGTTTACAAAAGGATATTCAAATAAATTTAGAAACACAACAATATAAGAATAAAAGAATAAGTGTAAGGAAGCATTCTCAAATTGTTTAATAAACCATCTGAGTGTGCAAGAGGCATACTCAGATGGTTTAGTAAACAAGATCATTTTTCCCCCATTTATTCTTCTATATGATATTTTACAAAAAGATGCATATTATCTTGTGAAATGATAGTGAAAAAAGCATCAGCAAATTTATGTAAATTAAATACAAATTGAAGGGATAAAAATAATGTAAGGATCTTTTATATCTGATAATAATACTTAAATAAACAGCAACAAGTTGCTCAACTTTCCTGGCACACATTTAAAATTTTGGTGGTGTGCCATCTGCTATATTTTATTTAAGAACTTTTTATATTTTTAACTATTATAAAATGGCAAAAAACTTAATTTTGTGCGTAGGGGATGAATCGTATAAAAAATTTGCAAATGCTAATAACAAGTAAAATCATCATTAAATCCAATCCTACTGGAGATACACACAAGCCCCTTTATCTCTGACCTATGATGTACAGGGGCAAGACACTACAGCATTGATTTGAGGTAGAGAGCATATATTTTAAATTAAATAAATTAAAAATATGATTAAAACTTGCATTATGACAATGTTACAATAAATAACTGCTCGTTTTATTTTAAAAGTTCCATATTTCTTAACAATATAAAAACACACCCATTATATATTACAAAATTCAAATAAAATATAAAATAACAATTAATGCAATTAAACAAAAAACAATGATTAAAGTGAATTACTCACCTTATTAAAACAAAACAAATTCAAATATTCTTTTAATTTAATAGTGGCATGTTTAGCAGCAGAAAAAATTAGCCATGGTTCCTGTAATTAAAAACAATTACAAACTATTAATAATGGCACAAGGGTTAGTTGATAAATGTGGTCTTCATTGTTATAAAATTAGTTTGGAAAGTGGTGTAATAATGTAACCATTTTAAAAATTATTCATTTGTTTTAATCACACATCCATTTTTTAACATAATCATCATTTAGAATAACACATTTTTTTCAAATTGTTCAATCAATTTTTGCATTCTGCATAAAAAAATCTGATTTTTCCTCAATTCATTCTCATACAGCAGTTTGAACTTTGGTATCCTATGTAAAGCATTAATCTTCTAGCATCTGCTTTAATTTTGAGAACAACCATAAATCAAATGATGTCAGATCTGAGCTGTAAGGATGATTTCTTACTTACCTTTAAAGATACTTAAGAACCTATAATTATAGATTATTCCACACCCTCCTTACAGCCAGATCTAGAACCATCAGTTTTTTGATTGTTTCCAAAATTAAAGCTGGTGCTGAATAGTCAACCCTTTTCATTAAATATCAGAGTTCAAGCTGCTATATGAGACCGAATCAATGAAAACTCTGAAAGTTTTTTGTGCACTGAATGCAAAAATTGATTAAATATCTGAAAAAACGTGTCACCCTAAATGAAACAAGTAAGTGTTATTAATTAAAATAAACAAATTTTACTACTTTTTGAAAATGGTTTATATTGTTCTATCATTTCTCAAACTAATTTAAAATAGAAACTTCAATTCACTTAACCGTCATAAACCCTCATAAAAATGTAATCCGTTCAAGATTAACATTTCCAATATATAGATTAAACCAGTTTATATTAAAAAATATCAAAAATTTCTTACAATGAACACAAATTCTTACACATGAAACATCACTATATCAGGGCTGATTCTAATTAATTAAAATCAAAATTAGCCTAAAGATATTATTTTATGTATAAATATTAATAATTAGAAATTAAGTTTTAATTTTAATTAAATACTTTAGAGAAAATTATGATCATAAGTGAGATTTGAACCTTCAACTCTTGCAAGCCAGAGAGATTATTATTAGTTATACTACTTGATCATCAATTCCAGACATTTATTAATTTACACTTACTAAATAGCATTACCGGTCAATTATTTTTATAAAAAGATGTGATAATAATTGGCCTAAAGACAAGCAATAATGCTGTGTTAAGAAAGACAGTAACCTTATTGCCTTTCTTTGGATCAAATTAATTAAAATCAATATATATTGCCAAATAGAATCCAACAGATTTGGGCTTTAGGTTATACTATATTATATGGTGTAAACTTATTTGTTATGAATAAATTATTAATATGTACAATTTTTATATATTAATATAATATGTGAAAGTTGATATTTTTTAGATTAAATGTGAAATTATATTCTGTCCAAATTAAATAAAAAATTTTATTAATTATTTAAATTTTAATACAATACTGCTAGCACCAGACTTTCATTTAAAATGTTTTCAGATTTTCTAATATCATAAATATATCATAGGCACCATTTTAAATACTTTTGAGCCTTCAGCTCAATTTATTTAGAAGCAATACAAATACAAATATGAAATAAAAATAATAATAATAAGCAATGAGAGAAGACCTCTAAGAATGTTGAGGCTCCTGGTCAGAGCCAGGTATGCTCACAAATTAATGTGACCCTCATCATAAACAGAATTATATTTTTCTATTATAAAATAAAGATTTTAAAAATTACTTTTAATGTGCTGAAAAAGCTATCTTCTATTATAGAATTATATTGCAATTCATAATCTTCAATTTCTTCAAATGATATTTGACATAATTTCTTGATGAAGTCAACAGCACATTCCAACATATTATTTGATAATTTCTCATTAATCTGTAAATAAATTATACTTATTAAAAATGTTGATCAAATATATAAATAAAAAATTATTGAGAAAGCAACTAACCTTCTTGAAAACTGAAGCATGCAATGTGTCACTAGACACAATACTCATTTCTCCAAAATTAGTTATCAAACTGCAAATTGTATGTTGAGCCATATCAATAGACTGATTGATCAAATTTTCTAAATTTTTTCCCATACCCTATATTGAAAATATGATAACAATAAATAAATTATATAATATTTACTATCTAGACATTATATCAAACTCACTTGGAAAATAAACACAATAACTTTCTCTAAATCAAGTAAAATTTTTTTCAAATTGGCTACTTGACTGTTTATACATCTTGTTCTCATCCAATTTGGAACATCTTCATTGATATAAATACAAATCCATCCTGAAATAATGGACCTCAAGCATCTAATATCTGAAGTCAGGATGATGATTAAATTGATTGTGTCTCCTGATAAATTGATACAGAAAAATAATTTTAATTAAAAGCTAATAATAGTAACAAAATAGTTTTAAAAAATTTGAAGAAAATTAACACACATACAAAATATGAACATATAACCGTATTTATACAATAATAAGCCAACACTGATTGTAAGCTGACCCCAGGAAATTGAAATTAAAAATAAATAAAAATATGAAAACTTAATCAAGCAATAAATTTTACACCATTTAATTGTTCAGTTGTTGTCATCAGACAACTCAGATTTATTGTCGCTTGATTCTTTGTAGCCACCATGTGCACAGCAACACCATCTGTGCTGCATTCAAAATTGAACATTTTTTAAATACACCAGATGACTTCTCTAGAAATATTTTTCCATACATGCATACAAATTCACATAAACTTGCATATAAAATCCTCAGAGACTTATCTCTGGTGGCTTTTGACAATATTTTTCCAAACTTTTGACTGTCAGTAAAGGACATCATCTACTTTACTGAACATACTAATGATACTAATTCTAAGCCAAGGGAAATTTTTTGAACCATAAAAAAATTAAAAAAAAAAAAAGGTTGGCTTGCAATTGGGTAAATGTGGTAATACAAAACATATTGATACATTCAATCAAAAACTTGCATGTCAAAGCATGACGACTCAAATCAAGAAACCCCAAAGTCATCAATGTTGACCCTAATGGGTTAATAAGGCATGTTCTGATATATATATAAAAGTAGGGAAAATGGTTCATTAAAAAATTACACAATGCAACAAATTGCAAGGTCATAAAAACTTTATTTGAAAATGTAGGTGTTCTTTATGTATTTCGACCTCCTGAATTCGAAAATGATACTCAAAACATCGTATCACCCACAGTTTTTGCACAAATCGCATATTTTGCAATAATGATAATATACACGAAAACACCACATGAGGCTCAGAAGCAAAACATTGTTTTAAACTGTTCAACACTTGCGCTCCTAGTGGCACACAGCAAACTGTCACACTGCAATTGGCACTGCCTGTTTGTCAATGTGTTGTATTTGTGCAAGGAAGTATGTGTTAGTGTTAGTGTACAATGTCTACCTGAGGCTGTGTAAATTAGAGATGCCACGAATATTCGGCTACTATTCGGTATTCGGCCTATTCGGCTACTTTTTTTAATATTCGGTATTCGGCCGAATACCGAATACCAAATCATGAAAAAAAACCGCACATATTACTCAAAAACGTATTTATTTTAATCATAAATTATTACATTTAATACTTAAAATCTATCAGTGGTAAGTTGTAATGAATGAAAACAATTTTTTCAGCATTTGTTGATAGCAAACGATTGCGCTTTTCCTCATAAACTATACCTGCTTCTGAAAATAGCCTCTNAATTATTATGACATAAGAAACATTGAAATAATGCTGATAATTAATTATGTTTTCTTTATTTTGAAAGTAGGCTTTTAACAAACATAATACATATAGGCTCTCGTCGTCTAATCTATGTAGGTCTAATTTTCGTACAAATGGTAGCTGCATTAGAAAAAGCTCTCTCGGAATCAATACTAGTTGGACCTTACTCTCATTAGAGCATTGAAAACCTTCTTAAGATACGTTTCTTGTATTTTTTGCTCTAAGAAATAATTCATTTCTTTTTAAACTATATCTTTCACACTTTTAAACTTACTTATATTACTGTTATCAGTGTCTACGCTCGTTTTATGTTTAATGAATAAGTCCAATTTCTCTTTCATTGTTAAATTTGACTTTTCTATTATGCGCTTTGTTCTTGTGTCGACGTGAGAAGTTGATGGTATAGTAAGCAATGAACACCTCTTACCAGAATCTGAGTCTGAACTAATTTCAGTGACATCCGCAGGTCATAATTTGTTTTCATTTTCTGATAAGTGCTTGATTGTTTCTACAATTCCATTCAAAATTATATTTTTGTTAACATTATTGGATATTTCGTATAACTTATATTTGTTCAATTTTCTGGGTTATTTTCCTGTATATAGGCCTACTCCAAAATCAAGACCCGTTTTTCAAGTATAATACAAGCAATCAAGTTATAAAAAGACTAGAAAATTCCTTTTAATAACCTTAAATTACAAATGGAATGACCTATCACCACTTGCACTGTTTTCTCGCTATGGTATCGGGGAGACAAAAAATTGCTTCCCACGGGTATTTCCCGTGGAAATTTTAGTAAAATAAATATCGAGTTAATTAAGACGTTTTGTAAACCGAAATACCGGTAAAAAAAACTAATTACCGGTAAATTTACCGGGGTATAATTTTTCTAATTTAGCGGTATACCGGTAATGCAATCACTAGTTAACAACACTATGACAACGCACCATCACATAGAGCAAAGATGCCCTTAGAAAAGTCGCCATTATGGGCTGGAAGGTTCTCCTTCATTAAACTTACAGTCCACACTTGGTGCCAAATGACTACTATCTATTTCGCGCCCTGCGGAACCACCAATATACAGTTCAATGACAATACCCGATGTTCGAGACTTTCTTCAAAGAAAAACCTTTCTCATTCTATGCTCATAGAATTGAAAATTTGCAGGATATATGGCTAGATGTGATTGATAATGATGATAATTACCTACAAGACTGACATGTAATCGTTGTTCAATTAATTGTCAATAAAGTATTTTGTTTTCAAAAACGTTTAAATTTCACCTTTATGATCCGATTAAAAAACTCACATAGAAAATTAAACTAAATTATTTCCAGTTATAATTTTAATTAAATATTTTAAAAATTAAATATATATATATATATTTTTTTTTTCATTTCATAATTCATTAAAAGTTTTTTAATGAATTATGATAACAGGTGACGGCACCAAAGGTTGCCGGGAAAGTGAAGCAACTCTTTGCTGGAAGATAACTTTTTATAATTTTAACTGTTATAAAATGGCAAAAACCTTAATTTTGAGGGTAGGCATTGATTTATAAAAAATTGCAAATGCTAATAACGAGTAAAATCGCTACTGGAGATATGCACGACCCCCATTATCTTCCCCTCAACCTTTACACCAAAATTTAACAGCATCAATCTCCCTAATAAACAAACCTCCGTGCAAAATTTCAGAAATTTTCGACAAAAAGCACAGGAGTTACAGTATTATTAAGCTTCAAAAAGGGTGACGAAAATCGTGCCCCCACATACACTAACATCCATACATACAGAAAAAACCGAACTTTTTGCATTTCTCGACGTTTAAAGGTGTCCTAAGTCCAAAAATGTAAAAATCTTGGGGGTCATTTTTTGATTGATTGCCATACTTTCCCTCTGTAATAACAGCCGGAAAAATAATAACATAAGATATATGACAACTTCACAGTTCCTCTTCAAAAACTATTAACTCCATAATACAATTTTATTGAGTTTTCAGCTTTATCACCACTCATGTTTAAAAACAAATACATTATTTACATTAAAATAAATAAATTTTATATAGGCCTATTTATAATAATTTACGCATTGTTTATACCAAATTATCTCGTTGAATCTATGAATTTCGAACAAGAACTGCATCTTTCATCTGAAATGGAGATAAAAAGTTGGATTTTTTTGGAATTGAACGGTGCGTTTAACGATCTTGGTTATGTATTAATAATCGCTTTATAATGTATAAATTACAATATTAGTTTGGCTTTCAGATAAAATAATAAGGATAGGAGAAAAACCATTTAAATAAAGTGGGTCGTAACTAAAAGATACACAAGAAATGTAGTGGAAAAATAATAATTTTACTTTAATTATCGTTCTAAGTAGTCTTCGTAAATGATATTTAATTAATTTAGTAAAAACGTGATGCAACTTAAATGTTGATAAAAGTTAACCACACCCAAATAATCCTCCAAATGAAAAATTAAATCCCGTCTCCAGAGAAATGAAAAATTCTTTCCAATGGACGATCCATTGTGACATAATTACGTGTCCTTGAACGAGAATTTAAATAAAAAATAAAATTTTTATGATTATTTTCCGAGTAACCAAGAAATAATGCTGAAAAAAACAAAATATAATCTTGTAATATACCAAGGATATTGCATTATATTGATTAATGTTTGTATTGTCCTCTGTTCTTAAATGGAACAAGTTTCCGAGAATAGAAATTGTGTTTGTAAATGTTGGATGTTAGATATAATGCCCAATTTTTCTTTCGATTTTATTTGTTAAATATTAACCCAATTTTTAGTTATAAATCATAACAAAAATAGCAAGGTAATGAATAACTCGTATAAAACAGATTACAAATTGTTGGATAAAATTTTACTGGTGTAAGTCCTGAGAGTTCGTTTGATTTCAAATCTGATTGAATCGTAGGATTAAACATTAAAATTCCTTTAAAACGACATGCCATAAGATTTGGGTTATCATTTGGAGTTTCAAAGTTACAATCAGTTTAATGTTTAAAGTTAAAAGGTTAGAATATTAAAATAGAATGAAATCTGACAAACGGGCTAGTCTCTTGGAGTTCTCCAGATTTTTTTGGCGTGTCTAACACCTAAATAGGGGTCAGTTTTCTATAGAAAGTCCAGCTAGAAGGTACACACCTTTGGCAGATCGCCTTCGTGTCGCCTTCTCTTATCTCATCAACTTATCGAAGTCCAATTTATCGTTCACCTAATTTGTCATCCAAATATTCTCTGATTAGAAGATCCAAGACAACTATTTTACAACTATTACGTTAAGTTCCTACTGTATTATCCTCACACACTATTCCAATGGTGCTACGTCTTGCAAAAAAATCTATATTCTTCACGTTTATTTAATTATTTAGAAAACCTTAAACAGCCGCTATTTTGTTTTCACATATTTTACAATCGTGAAGTCAATTGATAGGATGACAAGCATGGAGATCCGCAGAAAATTTTCCAGGTGGCAAAGATTGAAGACAAATAAATTATATTTAATTCTTTAATTTTTGGGGTTTATCGATCACTTTTACGATTATACTTCAAGGAATTTTTTACTCGATTCCACAGAGGGGAAAGTGTCCTCCTCTGCGGACGCTTATGATAACAAGGAATAACACAATAGCTTAGATGGTACGTAATACGATGCCATACCTCATTTATTATTTTTTTTTTTATTCTCTTATTTTGATAGACTAGTTCCTTTGTCTTATTTTAATAACTTTTATTTTAGAAAGGCTCCTACATTTTCATCAATTATAAATATAATTTTCAAAGCACATCATGTTAGTTCGAAGTTATCTGTAGGACTACCCTAAATTCTTTGTAGAAACTTTAATTTCCCCATCTGCTGACTATTGAAAGTCACTAAAGTGATTCTCGATACGTGCTTTTACTTTTAAGATAAGATTTAATTGACAAATTTTTCTTTAACAATACTCGAAAACGAATTATCGCATGGACTTGGAAAAAAGGCACGCCATTCCAAGTCCATCGTTCAACAAATTTACCATCCAGATATTCTCTAAGTATAAGACGCAAGACACAATCCCATATATAGTTACTTTGTGATTCCCTTATATAGTTTAGCAAGTCACTTAAAGGATCTAAATTTCACATAGGCTATATTCTATTTACAATATGTACTTAAAGTCTCGAAATGCTTAAAACATACCAAAAACCTGCTCTATATTGTGTCTGTAACATTATATACGACCCAATTAGCATAACCATTTATTTATACTGTATATTTCATAGTAGATGATGTGTCACTGTACCCTTTCTAATTAAATCAAGCATGCAAACGGATAAACTACAGTTTGCATGTCTGGATCCATTAAAAACAGCACACTAAACTTTATTCAAATTGGTAACAAGTAGAAAAAATCAAAACAGTATTCTATTTACAGTTTGATGTTTTAAGTGCTGAAGCATTTTTCTAATTACGATTTTATAAATAATTATGATAATGCTATTCATTAAGTTGTATTTTAGTTTAAAAAAAGTAAAATATAAAGCTTAATTAGAATATATTACAATACATTTGCAACTTCTAAAAGATAGAATTCACTTAATTATAAATGTGCAAGAATCTTTCATAATTAATTATGGAACCATTAATGGTCACAACTGAGTGCAATTTTGTGATAAATTTGAAATTATGTTACATGGATTCTATGGAGGTAAAACCAATCTTCAGAAAGAAGATGGTTATCAACAAAGATAGTTTATGATAAAAAGACTATCCATTAATTGTATGTACAGTAAAGTTTAGGACGAAGGTATGCCGGAAGTACATAACTGTACACAACAGTGAATCAAAAGGGCTTACAAACTGTACACGTAATTAATGGACGGCTCCTAGTTTCTACAGATTTAAAATAAAACGGATTTTCAAAATTACACTTTATCGATCCGTCTGGCAGATGATACTAATATTTTAAAACATATTAAAAATTCATATCTCATGACTAAGTAAAAAGGAATTTATTTCCTTTCTGTTTATGGAATATACTTTTCAATTAATGCTCCTGTGAGGTTACCAGGCATGCCCATTTTTAGGATCATCCGGGCAGAATTTTAAAATTTTATGAAAATATCTTTGACTTGACTTTCACTTTTGTGAATAATTCCGTGTTATAATCAGAAATTAGTCACAATCTTAATTGTTATTATTTTCTAATTATTGCACCTTAAGGTTTGGTTTTAGTTTTATAAGTATACGGCAATGCGACACGTGGGCGATCTGCCAAGAGGGATGCCACCCGGGTGGTCTTTTATGGAAAACTGACTCCTATTTATGTGTTACTAGCGTGAAGAAAACCCGGAAAATTGCACGGAAAATTGCCCTTTGGCCAGGCACGAACCCACAACAACCTACCAGTGTTCAGTGGTTTTATTACCTCGTCCTTTATTGTATAGCCGTAAAGAATACTGAAAATGAATGAAAGAACTAAAGAACGAACCATATCCTAACACATTTTCCATAAAAAATCATCATAAAATTTACTTAGAGTCGATTCTATTCAAAACCAGGCAATTCGTAATGGGTAATACTGAAATGAACCAGAGAGCTCGTGATCTGGCGTTAATAAATCAATCTGTTTTAAATAATTAGTTTTAGTTACGCAGAAGTCTCACGTCACTTTCGGAATAATCTCGTATCAGCTGTAAATATCACATATTATATGCATCCTCTATTATAATAATCCATGATAAATTACCTAATACAATATTGTATTAATGTAAGACGGTATGTAATGCCGAATATTTATACATTAAAATTGACAGTATGAATATATATATATATATATATATCTTTTTAAAAATTTCTTCTAAAATAAACAATAAAAATATGATAAAATAGTTTTTTTTAGAAGCAATTTTTAATCTGATATAGCACTTGGCACATATATCCATAAAATATTGCTTTTATATCACCAAAATCACTAAAAATAGCAAAAACAAATTATAATTACAAAAAAGTATAATGTAAATACCTTTATTTTTAAACAATTCTTGATCTTTTATTTTATTAATCTGTTGCCAAATATTAGAACATGTTAGAACTGCCTGATTCAACAGAGATAATGGATGATCCATATCTTTATACATATAATAGAAAAAAATTAAGAATAAGGTTTCAATCTTAATTTAAAAATATAATAAAATAAATTAATTTGTGATACCAATTGCTTTTGTTAATTGAGATCTGCATGATTCGGTGATCAAAAAGATTGATGAAACAGATGAAGATGGCTCTAAACTTTCATTAAGAGATCTGTGAAAGTCTAAAAATAAACCCTTATTATTATAACTGAGTAATTCATTTATAAATATAAAACTCACAAATCCTGTTAAAAAACAACAGAGTAAAATCTTTCATTGGAGTACTCTCCCCAAACTGACAAACTAAGTTTTTTCTGACAATTTATTTATTTTACCAAACTAAAGACTAATACACAATTGAGTGTTATAGTGTGAGTATTGTTTTTTTGTAATTTACCAAAACTCATAAAGGAATTTGCAGTAGCAAAAAGTTAACATTGCAGAACCTAAAATATTTTTCTGGAGAGAATACTGCAGTCTTTAGAACTTTGTAAGAAACTAAATTTCTTTTTACTTATTTTATAAAATAATGGTTAATTTAAAATTTTATTTGTGCTGTTTGATACTACTAATGCCATCTCTGTGTCAGGCCAAGAACTTTTCAAACTACTCTAGTATTAGCTATTTCCACATTACTCTTGAGATAGCTAGCAGTAAAATACTCACTCAAAAACCTTTTAATGCAGTATATATAACTTTATTCTAATATTTTTGATCATTTAAAACAACCAAAAACATTAGAATAAAGTTATATATACTGCATTAAAAGATTTTTGAGTGAGTATTTTATAAAAGTGCAGTTTAGAAAAAAGTAAATATTAATTGACAGCTAGTAGAATATATTTTTTAAACTTTTTTCCTGTAAGCTAGTGCCCTGATATCTTTAGTAAAAATTATGCATTCACACACATTTTAGTGTTATGACAGTTTGATGTGCATAGGTAGTTCATTTTACATTTGCAGTTGTTTATTTGATACTGAAATACATATATTAGTGAATTCATGGCCTTCAAATTTTGATTGTGATACTGCTTTGAGTAGTGTCATATATTTGTCCATGTCAATGACTGACTAAAATGTTCAAGACATTATATAATATAATACAATTGTAATATTTTTGTATTTTTGAATAAGATACAAGCACGCTACAGTTGGGATTCATATAAGTTTTCGTTTTTATTTGGCATTTTAGCACTATTATTCAGTTAAGAGTAAAAATAACCATATTTGAAATAAATAAATGTTTTGAAAAGCAAAAAAATATTTTTTAACAAGTGAAATAAGAATATATTATGTTAAGGCTAACCTGAAAATGAAAAAACCATATCACTGCTTCCAGTGCTGGATAATGACTGAGTCAGTCTTTTCTGAATGTTTTTCAAATCACACCTGCAATTAAAATATTTAATCTTTCTTTTTATATAATAATTATCTACTAAAATAATATTCAAACTAAATTATTGATTTTAATAAATGAGCAAAATAATAATAAATTTATTTATACAGTACACCCCTATAACACGGGTTCCTATAATTACGATTCCTATAAGACGGCGAAAAAATTGCAACGGTATCCGTACAAACCTGGTAAAAAAAACTCCTATAATTACGTAAAACATCATTGGGCAGCCGAACTACTTTTCACGCCGTCAAGCACCACGCTATGGAGAGATTACTATCGTCTGTACAGTATGTAAATTAGGTACCGTAAGTCTAATACAGTACTGTAATTTTATACATTTCTTGTGAAAGAAACATTTCTTATTCAACGGTGATAAAAATTATTTATATTAATGATGTCTCCAAAGTTCAGCGAAATTTTCGCAGAAAAATAACATCAGAAATCACGGCCGCGTTTTGCTGAGTTGTTCCACGACAAAAACAAGCTTGAGCAATGGCGATGTCAAATGGTGCACACTCGGTAAGTAATCCTACAATTTTTTGTTTATAGCGTAGTTTATATGGATTATTTCCAAAAAAAATATACGTATTTTGGAAATGTTGAGTCGGATTAGTCTAGAATCGATTAATTTTATGGAAGAAAACTTTTCAAACAGCCGTAGTCCGTAAACTTCACATGTGTCAGGTTGTGATTGGAAGGACTCGTAAGAAATCGGATTCCTAAAGAATGGAACGTATCTACCGTGTTATAGGGGGGTTGACTGTAATTGTTCTAATACAAATAAATTTAGAATTTATTAAATCTGTAGAGAAAACTAAGTTTGATATTTTTACAAAAATTTTTTCATGTGGATATATGTGCATTTATTTGTGGATATACGTGCATTTATTTGGCATATTTAACTTAAACATTTAAATGATTTTATTCATTAAACCATTTCTGTCATATTCTTTTAAGTTAAACTAGGACATTGTGTGATTTTATTGTATCACAATAGAATTCAGGCAAGACCAGAAAGAAAGAAGTTATCCCTATATTTGTTAGGCACAGAAGAGGCGATCCTTGCACTTGCTGACACAGAAAGGCAATCCAAGAACAAAGCAATCCTCATCAATTGCTTCTTGTGTTTTGTTCAATCTTCATCAATTGTTCTTGTGTTTTGTTCATGTTTTTTTTGCACCTATTGTCCATTAGGTTCAATTTTATTTTTGACTCCTAGGCCTAAATTCTATTAGGCACACTCACAATTGCATCAGAGAGCATGGACGTTGTCAGTTTAACTCCTCTATATATCAAAAACCCCTCAATCCCCATTTTTTACATTTAAATGGACCTTCATTACATTTTTGGATCCTTTGTCTTGTCTCAAATAATGGAACATGGCAAAGTTTTATCAAAATTGGCCCATTAAATTTTGAAAACAAACTCAAATCTGTAGCAACGACCATAGAAGATATGCTAGCGAACTTGAAACATCACATGTCAAAGTTGTACAATTTGTGCAATATTGCTTTGTCATGCCTGCTCATGAAACAACCTTATATCTCAAAAATGAAGTCACAGACCCCTATTTTTTATTTCATTTTTGGATTCCTCGTCACAATTAATGGAAAATGGTAAAGTTTAATCCAAATCAATCAAACAGATTTAGAGAATGAACACAATTCTGTAATCCTTATAGAAGAGGATTCACTAATGCTCAGCCTCAATAAAATACTTTCTAATAAACTAATTAATATTTTAAAAAATAATGCTAATATTACAATCATTTAATTAAATTTTCTCTAAATATTTGTCAAAAGTAAAGTGGCACCTAAATACTGTATGTGAAAAACAGAATATTTTATGAATTAGTTTTAAATATTTATTTGCTATATTCATATAAAATTATTGTTACTAACATAAGTTGCTTCTATTATTATTACAAAATGACACCTTATAATGATTGACTTATCTGTGATCTTAATATATTGTTAGCAATGTGTATGATACATTATTATATTCTAAAATAACATATTCTGTCTGTCTAGCCTAGCCTCTTACCCTTTTAACTTTCCTTTGAAAATAATTTTATATCTTATAGCTGCACATTCAATATTTTTATGATATTGTCTTAAAATATGATATATTTTCATTTAATATGACAAACTACACAAACCCTAATGCTGGTCTTTCTCTCAAAGTTGAACTTTAATGTTTGATAACAGCATATTAATTAATTTTTAAGGTAAATGAATATTATCTCTCTTTTTTACATGTAAGGTCACTGACCCAGTAGAGATAGGGGACTTGAAAACCCACTCCTTGGCACTTGTATAAGATTGCCATCTTTTGAACCTAAGAGAAGGTTGTATGTGGGTGTGGCAGAGGAGGCAATTGATGACAAGTGTTTACAAAAGAAAAAGCCATTTATTTGGTAACTTTGATGCTTACATCAATAATTGACAGTTCAGTTCCACTTCCTTTCCGTCCTTCGGGATGATGCAGATTTTCCTTTCCATCAAAACCCTGGGGTGAACGAGATGGGATCGCAGGATGTAGGGGATGATCGGAGATTCATGGTGAACTTAATCCAGAGGAGACTGTCCTTCAGCCTTGAAATTCCTATTTTTATAGTTTTTCTCCTGCTATTTGCATTTTGGATTGGTCCCTCGTCCCATTCCTCACTTCCCGATTGGTCTCTCCTTTGTCTCCAGGTGCAAGATGAAACCTCTTCGGGTTGCAGGAAAGGTCCGATCCGAGGTGTCATTGATACTTCTTTGTTGACTCTGCCCGGTGATTGTTTATAAAAAAATAACACCTGCACTCATAATTCAGGCCATTGTTTATACCCTTTTTGATGTCTAAGAATTTTAATGATCATTTTCATCTATCAAAAATTTCCTTTTTTTTTTTTTTTTTTTTGAGAAGATTTATCTCGGCCAACATTTTATAGACTCACAAGTCAATGATCTACCTATTTATGAGCGCTCATGTTAGAGTTTGTCTTCTTAGCAGAAGACAAACTCTAACATGAGCGCTCATAAATAGGTAGATCAAGACCTAATTTGCCAAATAGGTCTTGGCAAACTATTTGCCAAGACCTAGACAAATAGTTTGACACACACTCGAACAGTTCCAAGACTCGTTTACATCTGGCGTTACTTGAGTTCGAACCATGTCTGGGAACCCACATACATTTAGAATTTTAATTTTCTTTATTTTATAATAACAAAGTTATATTATTTCTCACAGAAAATATTATTATTCATATGGGACAAACATATCATGTGCTCGTGTGCCATCTAGCAATTTAGTTTTTTTTTTTTTTAAGTTATCAACTAATAACAATAGAGAGATCCACCTTGTCCACAATCTGATAAAGTTTCATTAACCAATGAATTAGGTTGTTGTAGCCTCTTTGGTTATGCACAGGGCTGTGGAGTCTGAGTCGTGGAGTTTTGGTGTTTTGGCCATAGTCGGAGTCGTCAAAAAATCCTCCGACTCCGACTCCCTTTTTACTTACTAACTTGTTGTGTATATGAAACGGAATCAGAGTCGGAGCCGGAGTCAGATGGTAAGGTAAAGTCGGAGTCGGAGTCGGTAGATTTTTATGCGACTCCACAGCCCTGGTTATGCATGCAATCTGCAGCAGATGGTGTTAAAAATGTAATGCTTGTTTTTTGGGAAAGTCCATTTCCAAAAATTCCCAAAAATGTAAGTGGATAGAAACAAATAGATTTTATGTTTGAATCCAATTTAACTCTTCTATTAATTTATTAATTTTCTATGAATTTTTAAAATTGTAGAAAATTTATAAAAAATTAACAAATTTAATTTTCAAAATTCTGAGCTATACATTAATAGAAGAATTAAATAAGATTCTAACATAAAAACTGCTTGTTTCTATCCACTTACATTTTTGGGAATTTTCGGAAATGATTTTCTCATAGAAAAAGTATTACATTTTTAACACCATTTATTGGAGATTAAATGCATAACTAAAGAGGTTACTATCAGCCATAATGTAGATTTAATGGTGTCTTTGATCTTAACAGAATTAGCAGGAAAACCTTATAAAAACTGACTACAATAATAAAAAAAAAACCTATTAAAAAATGTTGCAGTTAATATGTTTAAAACAATTTCTTAATTTTCAATTATATTATTCTTGTTGGATCAAAGAAAATTGTATTGTAAGACAATTATGCTCTGAATTAAGAGATCACTTTTCATAACAGAATAAATTTTTCATTATTTTTGAGAAATGAAAATCTAGAAATATTTTTATATAATCTATCAAAGTTTTTAATTTTAATATTTTGAATTTTTTATAAAGATTTATTAGCTTACTTTGAATCACTTAGAATATTTATAGGTATTTCATCTTGACTTTCCCATATATCAGTTGCCTCAAAAACTTCACAAAAGGCATTTTTGTCAGATGAAAATTCCTGGAGAAATTTAAACAGTTCTTTTTAATAAGTAACAAACTAAATAATTAGATAAACTATAATTTATTATGATTTGAAATCCTATAATTATTTAATTAATTAATTAATCAAATTTCTCAATTTTTTCATATTTTTCTAACTGAAAAAAAATCACTCATATTCTGATAAGATGACAAACATGTACTTTCAAACCTGTTAATCATTTTACAATAATATCCTGAGTTACATAAGTAATATGGACCATAGACCTTAACATAACTTGAATTTTACATAAGTCAAATTTGTAAATTGCTTAAGTGTAACTATGTAATTAATAAGTCAATACTGTATTTATTATCATATATGTACTGTACATATATTATTTATTATTTTTTTGCATAAAAGAATTGTTTATGAAAAATAATGCCCAGTACACTTGTGTATGTGCTTACAATTACACCAAAAAGTAAAGAATTAGCAGAGCAATAAAGAAATAAATCGATACAGGGTGAAGAAAAAAAAAGAGAGAGAGAGAATGAATGAATGTTTGAAATAGAATAATTCTTTTTAAATTACATGTTTCTCTACTCAGATTTTTTCCAATTTTTGAGATTTACATTTTATGTAACTGCAAATTTATGTAAGTCCCATATTACTGTAACTCAGGGTATTACTGTATAACAATTTTCATTATCAGATATACAATATTAATAAATAATAATAATAATAAACATTTAAAAATTTCTTTAAAATGCATTAAATTAAACTGTATTAGTATAAAATCAACTTTAAATTGCATGTTGTTGCACAAGTGTGATGCTGTCATGCCTTATTTGCACACCACTTGTATGATAGAATGGAACTTTGCTAATTTACATGCAAGTAACTGAAACTTGTCATATTTTGTGGTGTTGATTTTACACAGGTTTTTTGGTTTGTTGCTCTAATTTTGGACACCAATGCAGAATATAGGATAATTATGCTTGTGTATTTCATGTATTGCTTCATAAACATGGTTAAACAGGGATAACAGCTAATGGTCTTGACTTTAAAGCTTATTGTAGAAGCTAGGACATCTAAACATTAAAAAATCATATAAATAATACTTATAACTGCTGAATAAAAGAAAGAAAGCATTTTATTAAATTAAATTTAATAAGTTACATATGTATATTTAAAAAATGAAACAAAGAAGAATAAAACAGAGTCAGCAAATTAGAAACTGCAGGTGTCACTAACCAGATCAGTACATGTTTTCTACACTGTTACTTATTAACCTACAATCACCTGCAGTTTTCCTTTTTACAGGATCAAATGCATAAAGTAGCAATTTTCCACTGACTTTTTTACATTGTAATTATGTTGTGTATATATAGGTAAGTACTGTATGTATGCATGTATGTACAGTGATACCCCGAACTTACGCGATAGTTGGGACCGAGCGATAACAGTGTAAGTCGAATTCGCGTAAGTCGGGGTATAATTTCGCAATTCGTGTAAAATTGAAGTCGGATGTATGTAAGCTAATAAATGTTCTCGTTAATCTTATCTCTTCTTTTGATTCATTCACGGTTACAAGAAATCACACATAGAGTCTCTGAAGGTTCTGTAGATATAACAAACACAGAAATAAATAACACAAAATAAATTGTAGCTATGTGTCGATTCCGCACGACATGTCTGAACATGTAAGCTGAACAAAAGTGTGGGGGGAGTGAGTAATCGAGAGTTGCGTGGCGCTCAAACAAAAGACGAATTGACGAGATTTGAAAATCGCGTAACTCTGGGTTTGCGTAAGTCGGAGTGGCATAAGTCGAGGTATTACTGTATATAACTTGTGGCCTTCCCTTGTAACAGCCTTTAAGAACCTTAAGGTTGTTGTCAAAGTGACAACTTCAGAGATGAAATGAATCATCTGTCTTGTAACAACAATGCATCCATGATCAAAGTAACTAAGGTTGCCACATTTACTCATTTTCGTTGATTTTGGTACAAATCAAAAAAACTAGTATATTTACAAACTGTGATTACATCTCATTTTTCAAATAGCATTTTCTCTCTTTGTGTAATTTTATTGTTTGAGAAGCACAAGAAGAGAAAAATGAAAATAATTTTTTTTTTATTTGAATACTTAATAAACTTAATTTAATACTTGTCTTAGGCTTTCATTAAATTTATAATTTGTTTTGGCCTCCACTGTTTCTATATTATCTGATATTTTCATTAATCTGCCATTTATTGATCATATTTAAGTCAGATAATTCCATCTCTATTGTATTATAGAATAATCAACACACAATTTCATACTCTAAATCATCATAAATCCATACTATAATTACTATAAAAATTAACAAGATTATAAACACAAAAATAATTATTTTCAATACACAGATTTATGCATAGTTTATAGATTATACATGATTTATAAATCATCTATGTTTCTTTTGTAATAATTTGTTGAATTAAAAAAAATTTTTTTTTGAATATTATTTTTTTATGAAAATAATTTTGTATTTATTGTCTTTTGTTCATTATAATATACAAAATAGAGTAAGATGAAATCTATTTCCAGTTCATTAAGGTACTCGTATAGAATGTAAATGTATTTCACATACATCATTTTGAAGCTTATTTGACATAGATGAGCCAAATTGTATCATTTTCACTGTTTAGTTTCATCCCTCCTTGCCATTCCAGCTATTAAACTTACCCTCTGTCCAGTATAAAAACACTTCTAAATACAATTTGACATTCTTTCATACATTTCCAATAACTTTTTAGGTCAGAAGAACTAATGTCATTTCTTTTGAATAAAATGAAATTTAATCAAAGAACAACTCTTACAGGTAGATGAAAAAGAAATGAAAAACTATGTTCAATTAAATGTTGTCCACTTACATTCATTTCTGCAAGCAAATTATCTTCAAAGGTATTACATGGTTATTCAAACATTTTCAGAGAAATGAAGGTTATGTGATGAAGGAACATACAGACATGTTTGTTAATATTAGTCTTTATTAGAATTAATCAGGATTAGAATTGAATCTATCTATCTATCAAATCAATCAATCAATCTAGCTATTATCTATGTATCCATCCTCTCAAACATCCATAATACACCTAGACAAACTCTATTTCCAATTTGTTAAAATACTAATGTTATATACTGAGAAATATGTCATATTAATAAGTTTTATGTAAATAAATTTATTTGCTTCTTTATTTTTCCTATTTATTTGTAACTTAACAATTTTTTACTGCAAATATTTTGCTGGGATACAACTAGTTATTTATAATATTTGTATAATTTAATGAAAAATTTATGTTTAACATAATTTTCTACTGTACCTGTACTAATTTCCGAAGTCTTTCTAATCTTTCTTCAAATGTTTCCAGTGACCAAAATGTTGCAATATTATGATTAACACTATGAACTTTTATTGCCAATTCAAGTCCTGTATTAGTAAGAACATCACATCTATTTAATACCTGTATGAAAAAATTAAATAATTATAAACAAAAATTTAATAATATATGTAATTATGTTCTTACAATTACTCTTACAATGTCAGTTCCCAGTTCTTTTGTCAATTCATTGGCTTCTTTCAATCTTACTGATAACTGATAAAGACTTCCAACTTTTTCTTGTTTCTGTTGAGATTCATATTCAATACCTGTTTGCAAAGTCATATCCAATTTTGATTTCCAATTATCTAAATCACTAGACACATCATTAAACATTTCAGTAATTTTATCCAAAAAATCAGATGAATAGGGAACAAACTGAAATATTTTAAAATAATTTTTATTTACAATAAGCAATATTTGTTAATTTAAATTATAGCATTTGTAATTTCAAATAATATTACCTCTTTAATATCAGATTTTTTAGATTGTAACTCTGTACCCAAATCCTATAAATACATGAAGTATATATTGAATAACAAGAGACATAACAATCTTTTAAAAAAATTAATAGTATATTAATAATAATAATAAATAAAATGTAATTTTCAATACAGGTATACCTCGCCCTACAGTAATTGGTTCCAGGAGAGGCAACGTAAGTCGAATTTACTTGTCACTAGGCTAAACCATAAATTACCATTTCTAGTTCTGTATTTTATTTATTAATGCATTTTTAATAATATATAGTTAATAAGGATCTATTTTAAGCTTATAAACAAATAAATTTTAGTTTTTAATATAGTACAGAAAAAGTAATATAAATTTACAAATGCAGGTACTGTAAATACAGTACATACTTGTAAATGTATATATTTTAATATGATTTTATGTGCTTTAAACGTTTTTCTAGTGATATTATGACTTCAATATTTTGGCGGACAGACATAAAGTCAAATAAAATGACTTAAACTTGATTTTTATTTTTCCATATACTTTTTTGACAAACGACGTATAATCGGGAACGACGTAACTCAAAATGACGTAAGTTGAGGTATACCTGTATATGAAAAATCCAAGCTCTGCTTACCAGAACTTTTAATTATTATAATAAAAATTTACAACAGAAAAGTTACAACTAACAATGTTCAAGTACAGGTAGACCTCCTACAACGTGGTACCTTTATAACGCATTTTCATTCCAACGCGGTTGGAAAAATGCAGTAAATTTCTTACAACGTGGTACCTTTACAACGCGTTTTCGCTCCAACGCGGTTGGAAAAATGCGGAAATTTTCTTACAACGCGGTACTTTTACAACGCGGTTTACAGTATTTAGAAACAAATTATCTTTCACATAACAGAAAAATCGCAACGGATCATGTGATATGAACCGTAATTTGGCATACAGAACTAAATGTCCTTGAAAACAGCTGTTTGTCGATGTTGGCGTATTATTTATTCCCTTGAAAGTTTCAGGGAAGACCGGTTTCTAGACAAATGTGCATCAGTTATAGTAAATACTCAAATATATATCTAAATTTTCCATCATTTATACTGTTTCAATAAGTGGGGACAGTAAAAATGGTCCAAAATACAGTATAAACTTCTATTGGGTGTATATTTTTAACAACATAGAGAAGAAAAGTTATTTTTTTGCGATTTTTACTGTCCACAAAACTGATTGAAAAAATTTTAGCCATAACAATGCCGAATGAAAAGAAAGGACCGTTGTTAAAAAGGAAATTTATAACTCTTCAAAAATAGAAATTTTGGATCAAATTAAAAATCAAGNTACTGTCCACAAAACTGATTGAAAAAATTTTAGCCATAACAATGCCGAATGAAAAGAAAGGACCGTTGTTAAAAAGGAAATTTATAACTCTTCAAAAATAGAAATTTTGGATCAAATTAAAAATCAAGTATATAAATAATAACAATTCAAAGCCCGAGAAATATACAATAAATCACCAAACAATTGCCTTAATATCGGGCTATAATATGGCTAATTAAATGATTAGCCATATTATAAAGTAATTTGACATTCTAAATTTATTTAATAATTTATTTATTACTTATTCTGTATAATCTTATATGAGTTCTTAATTTACGATTTTTATATTTTATACAAAAATTCTATATTATTTATGCTCTTAGTTTACTAAAGCATAAAAATAGGACTTCACTGTGTAATGATTCAGTTCACTCTTTGATTTTATTACATAAATGTGATTTAACAAATTTATTTATGTATCACTGNATGCCGAATGAAAAGAAAGGACCGTCGTTAAAAAGGAAATTTATAACTCTTCAAAGATAGAAATTTTGGATCGAATTAAAAATCAAGTATATAAATAATAACAACTCAAAGCCCAAGAAATATACAATAAATCACCAAACGATCGCCTTAATATCGGGCTATAATATGGGTAATTAAATGATTAGTATAAAGTAATTTGACATTCTAAATCTATTTAATTATAATTATTAATTTACTTAAGAGATGGCATCTAACGTCTACCTCTAATGTCAAATTACTTTATACTAATCATTTAATTAGCCATATTATAGCCCGATATTAAGGCGATCGTTTGGTGATTTAAAAATCAAGAGTGGATAGCTGATATTAGTAGGAATTTTAATTTAAATGAGTCAACTATTCGGTCGATTAAGCAATCGGGAGAAAAGATTAGAAATTTGGTCACATCCGGATCATCTATTCTTGCGAAAAATGTTGCTAGTCTGAGAGCACCTATAATGTAAAAAATGGAACAAGCGCTAATATTATGGGTAGAAGATATGAACAAGAAACGATTGCCTTTAAATAAAACTGCACTTAAACACAAAGCCTTAAAAATATTTGATTATTTAAAACAAATGGGACAGTCGTCAGCTGCAGTGGCATAATGTGGGTGTCAGCCGCCCGGGGCGGAGGAAAATTTCGCCGCCCCCTTATTTAGGTATCTCAATTTAAAAGACTAAAATTCAGTTTTGTCACAGAATAAGTAATGAACAATTCCGTGCTCATTTCAATCAGTCCGAATCGTAGGTGCGACAAAAATATAAAATGAAATGGTTCAAATTTTTACAAGATATTATTATTATTTATTGTGAAATTTTGCTGCCCCACTATGCCACGCCTACGCTAAAAATTCAAAAAACGCCATTCAAATGCCAAGTTTTTCTTTTTAGAACCGAATACCAATTTTTGTATTGAGTTGGTGTCTCCTATAATGCGATTTCCCACAACACAGTATTTTCAAGGAATGTATCTACCGCATTGTAGGAGGCCTACCTATATTATGGAAAACTTAAATTCTTTGCTATTTTCTAGTTTTAGAAAAATTTTCAACACAAGGAAAATGTGAACTCCAAATTATAAACAACATAAACAACTTGACAGTATTTATTTAATTCCTTCTGGAATTCATATTTTATATTCCATTTCCATGTGATAACATTCAATAGAATTTTTCAATAAACAAAAAATAGATATTTCAGATAGGTCTGCAGAATTGGACTTGCTTTTGGCAAATGCAGTAGCAAATGCTGGGTTCAATTGCAATCATAAAAAAAATCACAATAATTAAATAAAAATAAACTGCTAAAAATGTACACTACCCACAACAATTTTTCTCACATAAAAACCTGTAGTTCTCACAAAATAGAACCATCATCTATGATAATGCCAATAATCCCATTCCCATTTGTGGCTTCCTTAAAATCTAACATTTTTGATTGAATTTCTTTTTAGTAGGATAAATATTTTTTGAATTATTCCAGTGAATTAATTAAAACTGACTAACCTGTACATATATTCATAACATTGGTATATTTGATTAAACTGTTAGAATTGTCCTAGTTTATTGTAATAAAATAAAAACAATAAAAACAGTTTTACAAAGTTAATTCAAATTTTGCATTAAGTATTCAGCAAAAGTATCTATACATAGTAGAATTTTAATTACCCAAACTATGATCAATTGAGGTTCTGCATAATCTGAGGTGAACCTATAAAAGAATACACTACTTTTTCTTATAATTCATAAAAGCTTTGCTGTAAATGCATGGAGCTGAAATATTGTATCACTTTTAACCTTAACCACAAGTGAATGACTGACACTAAAGTAATTTTTTTTTTAACTTTCTGCCCTATGAGAACCAAGAAAGCCTTTTTTCTGTGCCCATTGCATTTCAGCCAGATAACCAGATGGTGACAAACAGAAAAGAATCTGACATATGTGAGACAGACTGCCCATGAAAATTGCTGAGATTACTAAAAAACATTGTAGCAAAGAAGGGACAAATTGTTATAAAGTAAAAACGCTAAAAGATTTTTTAAAGAAAGTTTAAAACAATAACATATTACAAAATGATTTGTTTGTTATCTTTTATCATTTAACTTCAATGTGAGACAACCATTCACAGGATTCATGCTAAATCTAAAATACTCTGAGTCATTTCGACTTGTGGATTATAGGAATGTGATCCAAGTACAAAGATTTATAATTCAAAGATAAAAATTTATTTTTTGATAGTCATTGATGTCATATAATTAAATACATATTTATGATAAGTTTGATTCAGATTTCTTACATAAAATAATACAAATCTTAATTTAAAGTATAATAGATGAGAATGTTATAAAATTAACAGCTATTTCTTTCTTCTGTCTTTCATACATGCAAATGCTTTAATAGCTTTGCACCTGGAAACTGATGGACCATTTAAGGTGAGATCTTCAAGGTTTTAAATTATCTTCTCAATGAAATACAAATTGAAAGAGCACTTTATACAATTCTTTATGCTAAATGCTTTCATATGAAGTACTGGTCAGTGATAAAACTAGGACACAAGTGTGATTTGGTTGCCACAATACATTTGTTAAATCATGGTTTGAATTCATTTAAGCTTCCAGTTTATATACAATTTTACAAATTTTATAATTTACAAATATTAATTATAAAATATCTTATTTATTTTCCATTCCTGCTAGTTATTTTGCTGTATCAATTCACCAAATTAATTTGTTCCTACAGGTCATCTATATGCTAAATACTTTTAATTACTTAATAAACTAAAAACAATTGACAAAATTAAAAGACTAATGCATGATATTACATTTACTTATTGTTAATAAGCTTTTACCTATCAATAGTTTCATTAAATTCAAGCAATTTTTTTATTCATCAGAAGAAACTAAGTAGCCCAAAAACTCATCCAAATGATATAAAAAAAGATCCAAAACCTTTATCATTTGAATAACTCAAAAAGTAGTCCAATTCCAAATTTTTTACATTATTTAGCAACCTGTGTATGTTCAGCCATTGACCAAGTTACAGACAATAGTGAAACATCCAGGATCTGTACAGGTAATTCCATCTGTGATTCTCTGACATTTCCTGACCAATTATGACATAATTCTCTGACCTATTAACATCTCTGCATTTCCAGGGGGGTCTGTCCAGATATGTTGGCCCTGTCCCTCACCATTTGGCTGCCCCATTGTGGGCCTAGCCGAATCCATAATGGCCTTGCTTAAAGATGCCCTCTTAGTACCAACAGGGGAGAAAGAGTAAAAAACAGAAAAAAAGCCTGACGTAATAATAATAAACCAAATAATTGCCATAATAAATCACTTATCTCTAGTACCAAATTACTTAATAGTAAATTATTAATACAGCATTTAATTAGCCTGATAAATTACAGTGATAGTTTGGTTTATTGTAATATTTTATTATTCTAATTTTCATTGTTTAATGAACATGGTCTTTCATTTTATTTGAGTTTTCAGTTAGCCAAGATAGTGTCAGTCCACATTATCTCAGATAACCAGATTCTACAGTACATTTATTTATTGCTAAATTTAAATAATTTATAAATGATTAATATTTTAAAAGTAGTAGTCTTCTACTTTTGTAAATGAACATGTTCTAAATTTCCGNATTTAATTAATTAATTAATCAAATTTCTCAATTTTTTCATATTTTTCTAACTGAAAAAAAATCACTCATATTCTGATAAGATGACAAACATGTACTTTCAAACCTGTTAATCATTTTACAATAATATCCTGAGTTACATAAGTAATATGGACCATAGACCTTAACATAACTTGAATTTTACATAAGTCAAATTTGTAAATTGCTTAAGTGTAACTATGTAATTAATAAGTCAATACTGTATTTATTATCATATATGTACTGTACATATATTATTTATTATTTTTTTGCATAAAAGAATTGTTTATGAAAAATAATGCCCAGTACACTTGTGTATGTGCTTACAATTACACCAAAAAGTAAAGAATTAGCAGAGCAATAAAGAAATAAATCGATACAGGGTGAAGAAAAAAAAAGAGAGAGAGAGAATGAATGAATGTTTGAAATAGAATAATTCTTTTTAAATTACATGTTTCTCTACTCAGATTTTTTCCAATTTTTGAGATTTACATTTTATGTAACTGCAAATTTATGTAAGTCCCATATTACTGTAACTCAGGGTATTACTGTATAACAATTTTCATTATCAGATATACAATATTAATAAATAATAATAATAATAAACATTTAAAAATTTCTTTAAAATGCATTAAATTAAACTGTATTAGTATAAAATCAACTTTAAATTGCATGTTGTTGCACAAGTGTGATGCTGTCATGCCTTATTTGCACACCACTTGTATGATAGAATGGAACTTTGCTAATTTACATGCAAGTAACTGAAACTTGTCATATTTTGTGGTGTTGATTTTACACAGGTTTTTTGGTTTGTTGCTCTAATTTTGGACACCAATGCAGAATATAGGATAATTATGCTTGTGTATTTCATGTATTGCTTCATAAACATGGTTAAACAGGGATAACAGCTAATGGTCTTGACTTTAAAGCTTATTGTAGAAGCTAGGACATCTAAACATTAAAAAATCATATAAATAATACTTATAACTGCTGAATAAAAGAAAGAAAGCATTTTATTAAATTAAATTTAATAAGTTACATATGTATATTTAAAAAATGAAACAAAGAAGAATAAAACAGAGTCAGCAAATTAGAAACTGCAGGTGTCACTAACCAGATCAGTACATGTTTTCTACACTGTTACTTATTAACCTACAATCACCTGCAGTTTTCCTTTTTACAGGATCAAATGCATAAAGTAGCAATTTTCCACTGACTTTTTTACATTGTAATTATGTTGTGTATATATAGGTAAGTACTGTATGTATGCATGTATGTACAGTGATACCCCGAACTTACGCGATAGTTGGGACCGAGCGATAACAGTGTAAGTCGAATTCGCGTAAGTCGGGGTATAATTTCGCAATTCGTGTAAAATTGAAGTCGGATGTATGTAAGCTAATAAATGTTCTCGTTAATCTTATCTCTTCTTTTGATTCATTCACGGTTACAAGAAATCACACATAGAGTCTCTGAAGGTTCTGTAGATATAACAAACACAGAAATAAATAACACAAAATAAATTGTAGCTATGTGTCGATTCCGCACGACATGTCTGAACATGTAAGCTGAACAAAAGTGTGGGGGGAGTGAGTAATCGAGAGTTGCGTGGCGCTCAAACAAAAGACGAATTGACGAGATTTGAAAATCGCGTAACTCTGGGTTTGCGTAAGTCGGAGTGGCATAAGTCGAGGTATTACTGTATATAACTTGTGGCCTTCCCTTGTAACAGCCTTTAAGAACCTTAAGGTTGTTGTCAAAGTGACAACTTCAGAGATGAAATGAATCATCTGTCTTGTAACAACAATGCATCCATGATCAAAGTAACTAAGGTTGCCACATTTACTCATTTTCGTTGATTTTGGTACAAATCAAAAAAACTAGTATATTTACAAACTGTGATTACATCTCATTTTTCAAATAGCATTTTCTCTCTTTGTGTAATTTTATTGTTTGAGAAGCACAAGAAGAGAAAAATGAAAATAATTTTTTTTTTATTTGAATACTTAATAAACTTAATTTAATACTTGTCTTAGGCTTTCATTAAATTTATAATTTGTTTTGGCCTCCACTGTTTCTATATTATCTGATATTTTCATTAATCTGCCATTTATTGATCATATTTAAGTCAGATAATTCCATCTCTATTGTATTATAGAATAATCAACACACAATTTCATACTCTAAATCATCATAAATCCATACTATAATTACTATAAAAATTAACAAGATTATAAACACAAAAATAATTATTTTCAATACACAGATTTATGCATAGTTTATAGATTATACATGATTTATAAATCATCTATGTTTCTTTTGTAATAATTTGTTGAATTAAAAAAAATTTTTTTTTGAATATTATTTTTTTATGAAAATAATTTTGTATTTATTGTCTTTTGTTCATTATAATATACAAAATAGAGTAAGATGAAATCTATTTCCAGTTCATTAAGGTACTCGTATAGAATGTAAATGTATTTCACATACATCATTTTGAAGCTTATTTGACATAGATGAGCCAAATTGTATCATTTTCACTGTTTAGTTTCATCCCTCCTTGCCATTCCAGCTATTAAACTTACCCTCTGTCCAGTATAAAAACACTTCTAAATACAATTTGACATTCTTTCATACATTTCCAATAACTTTTTAGGTCAGAAGAACTAATGTCATTTCTTTTGAATAAAATGAAATTTAATCAAAGAACAACTCTTACAGGTAGATGAAAAAGAAATGAAAAACTATGTTCAATTAAATGTTGTCCACTTACATTCATTTCTGCAAGCAAATTATCTTCAAAGGTATTACATGGTTATTCAAACATTTTCAGAGAAATGAAGGTTATGTGATGAAGGAACATACAGACATGTTTGTTAATATTAGTCTTTATTAGAATTAATCAGGATTAGAATTGAATCTATCTATCTATCAAATCAATCAATCAATCTAGCTATTATCTATGTATCCATCCTCTCAAACATCCATAATACACCTAGACAAACTCTATTTCCAATTTGTTAAAATACTAATGTTATATACTGAGAAATATGTCATATTAATAAGTTTTATGTAAATAAATTTATTTGCTTCTTTATTTTTCCTATTTATTTGTAACTTAACAATTTTTTACTGCAAATATTTTGCTGGGATACAACTAGTTATTTATAATATTTGTATAATTTAATGAAAAATTTATGTTTAACATAATTTTCTACTGTACCTGTACTAATTTCCGAAGTCTTTCTAATCTTTCTTCAAATGTTTCCAGTGACCAAAATGTTGCAATATTATGATTAACACTATGAACTTTTATTGCCAATTCAAGTCCTGTATTAGTAAGAACATCACATCTATTTAATACCTGTATGAAAAAATTAAATAATTATAAACAAAAATTTAATAATATATGTAATTATGTTCTTACAATTACTCTTACAATGTCAGTTCCCAGTTCTTTTGTCAATTCATTGGCTTCTTTCAATCTTACTGATAACTGATAAAGACTTCCAACTTTTTCTTGTTTCTGTTGAGATTCATATTCAATACCTGTTTGCAAAGTCATATCCAATTTTGATTTCCAATTATCTAAATCACTAGACACATCATTAAACATTTCAGTAATTTTATCCAAAAAATCAGATGAATAGGGAACAAACTGAAATATTTTAAAATAATTTTTATTTACAATAAGCAATATTTGTTAATTTAAATTATAGCATTTGTAATTTCAAATAATATTACCTCTTTAATATCAGATTTTTTAGATTGTAACTCTGTACCCAAATCCTATAAATACATGAAGTATATATTGAATAACAAGAGACATAACAATCTTTTAAAAAAATTAATAGTATATTAATAATAATAATAAATAAAATGTAATTTTCAATACAGGTATACCTCGCCCTACAGTAATTGGTTCCAGGAGAGGCAACGTAAGTCGAATTTACTTGTCACTAGGCTAAACCATAAATTACCATTTCTAGTTCTGTATTTTATTTATTAATGCATTTTTAATAATATATAGTTAATAAGGATCTATTTTAAGCTTATAAACAAATAAATTTTAGTTTTTAATATAGTACAGAAAAAGTAATATAAATTTACAAATGCAGGTACTGTAAATACAGTACATACTTGTAAATGTATATATTTTAATATGATTTTATGTGCTTTAAACGTTTTTCTAGTGATATTATGACTTCAATATTTTGGCGGACAGACATAAAGTCAAATAAAATGACTTAAACTTGATTTTTATTTTTCCATATACTTTTTTGACAAACGACGTATAATCGGGAACGACGTAACTCAAAATGACGTAAGTTGAGGTATACCTGTATATGAAAAATCCAAGCTCTGCTTACCAGAACTTTTAATTATTATAATAAAAATTTACAACAGAAAAGTTACAACTAACAATGTTCAAGTACAGGTAGACCTCCTACAACGTGGTACCTTTATAACGCATTTTCATTCCAACGCGGTTGGAAAAATGCAGTACAGTAGATCCCCCTATAAGACGGTAGATACGTTCCGTTCTTTATGAATCAATTTTGTAGGAATCATAGTTTACGGACTACGGCTGTTTGAAAGGTTTTCTTCCATAAAATTAATCGATTCTAGACTAATTCGACTCAACATTTCCAAAATACGTATATTTTTTTGAAAATAATCCGTATAAACTACGTTATAAACAAAAAATTGTAGGATTGCTTACCGAGTGTGTACCGTTC